TGTGTGTGTGTGTGTGTATGTGTATGTGTGTGTGTGTGTGTGTGTGTGTGTGTGTGTGTGTGTATGCGCGCATAGATTATTGTTATTCTTATATTTTCCGATCGAATAGTGTATGTCTTATGGATTACGGGCCTATAAGATACTTTACGGGCCTATAACCATATTAGAGTAGATTTACTTTCTCTATTTTACTAAACTATCTACTAAGCTTGTGCCCACTTTCCCCTTATCTTTTCACTATCGCCCTATACATTAATTGCTTTTAAAATAAACTTACATCGGCTGTCGAAAGACAGGATATACTTTCACAAATCAGCTGATCGAGTTGAGTGAAAAGCACATTGTTGGAAAGCTGTACCGGCGGAAAACCTTATAGAAAGCTCACTTATATGGCATATATCGAGGCCTGCGCGTGAGTTAATGACGGATGGCTTTGCAAAGTTGGAATGTAGGTTAGATGCGCTTATCTGTGCGTGTAATCCACGCGTACAAAACTCGCCCCGTAAAACGTACGAGCGCTTTCCTGGGCGTAATCGCGTTTCCTGTCATTAGCACAGATTTCAACCACCGTAGCGCTTTCTACCTATACCTACACCGTTCCCTGTTGCTGTCCGAGGCTGTCATGGTAACACACGTGCCCCCCCTTATAATCCACCCACAGGGGCGTGTACAGGGGGGGGGGTCCTGTACACGCCCCTGACCCACACCGTTAGCTACCGATGGTACTGTTACGAGTTGTATATGAACGATCGAGAGCTAATTGGGCATAACCCGCTTAGTGAGAGAGTGATTTGTAGAAATGTATCATATGATACCAGGAGTAATAAGATAAGAGATTTTATAATAATCCTATATGATGCGTTATCATCTTGTTTTTGATTCTATGTACTTCGATAGTTTGGTCGATACCTGTGTCGACCGCGGTTGCCTGACTCCCTTTTTTATTTATTTTGTTGTTGTTATTAGCTTCGAATAAATATAGAATGGCTATTTCATTACGGCTACATAC